AATTGTTTTTGTAGTTGAGAATCGGATGTTGCTACTGTATTGATTTGAACTGATTCTTGATGCGCTACAGAGGAGACAAATGAGGACTTGGAAGTGGGAGAATATGTAGCCATTTTAGGACCAGAGGAGGCAGGTGAACCAGCATTATTCTTGGTGAACAATGATGAGACATAGCCGACGGCAGATTGCAAAGCAGAGCCAAAACTACCCATGAATGTCTTTCTTCGTTTAAGCTGCATAGCCTTGCGACAAAACTGACGAGAAGAATACTCAAGTGAACATACTCGTTGTTCTAGCAATGAAAGTGTCATGTCTCACTCCAACACGTGTTCTAAGTTGTCTAGTATGCTAGTATGAACAGCATTAATATCCGCTTGTAGTGGCTGTGAGTGTTGGGAAAACCTGGGTGGGTGTGGGTGTGGGTGTGAGTGTGGGTGTGGGTGTGGGTGTGGGTGTGGGTATGGGTGTGAGTATGGGTGTGCTTAAATAAAGCATTAACATTCACATTGACTCACCCCCACACACCCACACCCACACCCACACCTACACACCCACACCCACACCCTGAGAGAAACTCTGTTCGAAATCATTTTGAAGTGTTTACAATTGACTTAAACAAAGAATTGTAATGTTAAACGAATTGCAAGGAAAAGTACATTGACTCCCTTAACCAAGAATAAACAACTTCTAATTTTTTCCATTAATTCTCCATACCAGTGATGCTTGGTCTAATATTTATACTACACATATATGTCTTGTTAATCTGTGTAGTCTAAAAATTTCAGCCATAAATAGCAAAGATTTCTTGACAAACCTACAATATTTGTTTTTCACAATTCGTGACAGGTCACAATTCTTTGTTTAAGTCAGTTGTAAACACTTCAAAATGATTTCGAGCAGGGTTTCTCTCATGACTATGATCTATGCGCACTCCTCTATCAGCGGTGAAAATATCAGCCTATTTAATCAAAATATAGCAGAGATAATACAAAATTTTCTTTGTCTAGTGAATTCTTGGACACTCTATTTAACTGTCTTGCGTCTTGGTCATAAAATATTGAAAAAAAAGAATCCATTGAAGTTTGTGCTAGTCTAGTGATCCCTCACCTTTGAGCAAAATATGCGATTTAAATATTGTAATAACGTATATGACATTTCTTAGATGTTTCTATAAACGATCCTAATCTCCAGTATTTTATATAGAAGTGACAATTTTTTTTCGTCCAAAGTTATTTTCTGTCCACCTTCTATCGAATCAGCACATCAAATTCGATAAAAAAAAACTTTTCGAAAAAGTGGTTGGATATCCATGGATTCGTCCAGTACAAAGATGAATAAGAGATATTACAATGTAAACCATATGAGAGCTCATCTATTGGAAGAAAATCAGCATAGATTTTTATTCGGATCGTTCGTTTTAAAATGAATTATGCAAACTTCACAAGTTCGAGAGTTTTGTTATGAATAAGGGCTAAACTGTTATAAAACACTATAAAGTAACTCAGAACAATGAAGAAATTGGAAAATACTTGTAAATCAAAATATTTCTTTACTTAATAATTGAAATGTTTATCAACGCAGTTGTATACTGAAATCAACAAATTGTATATGTATTTCATATTGATAACATCATGATGCAAAGAAGAATGAAAATTTCTAAATAATCCTCTACATTAGATATATTTAATGATATGTTTCACTCGAATTTTTATTCATATGCAGTCAGAACAAAAAAATCACAAACAAAGATCAACTGGAATAGTTTGTATTCTAGCTTATCGATTAATATCAGTCTTTAGAAAGTCGGTAATAGCAATAAAACAGAAAAAAGGACGAAATATCTACATAGAGAATGTTTTCGTATCTGATTAACTTCTGTTTTTAACCAAATAGATCTATGTTAACTGAATTATTATAACATGAGTTCCTACTCAATCACCATTATCTGGATGAGGAGTATCGTCAGATAATTACAAGATAATCTTGTGTATGTCTTTTCAATGAAAGACTTTGAACTGAAGCAGTATTTTTTCAATTAAAAATAATTTACGAAAACATTGAACAGAATGTCTCGAAACGAATTGTCAATGCATAAATACGCATATTTATTAGTATAAGTACTTAGATAAAAGTCTGATTCATTCTTTTCTCAAATGTTTTATCTCATTGTATTGTAACAATTTCGTATAACAGAAGAGCAACTATACGGAAGAATATGATAGTGAAGCGATGAATCATTTTTATTGCTTTGAAAAAGAAACTTGTTTTTTTTTAATTTTGTTTAAAAGAAAAATGTATGAATATAATTGATATTTATATTTATAATCAAGACATCGAATTGTATCGATGAAGTCTCTTTTCAAATTGATAATTACGTAAGTAGCTTTTCAAATATTTCAAAAACAAATAATTGAGAAGAATTGAATGGCGAATTGAAAGATGATAGATGTATCTCAACTTGCTGTACAGCCTTCTAGACGATTAATTTTTCGTTGTGTGGATGATCCGCAAAATATTAAATAAGTATTTTCGTGAAAATAACTAAAGCAATTGCATATCTCTGTTTTCATGTTAATCAAAAACACTATATGAGGTGGATCTAACCACACACTCAACACTCATACACACAGCATATAACACCCACAGACATGTGAAGACAACATGGGAAGAATTCTTAAAGCGAACCTAAGCTAGCTGTTTGTTGTTGTAGAGATAATGAAGAAGAAATCTAATATCTCTCTTAATTTTTGTTGTAGTTTTCTATGTTCGTCATAGATTGATTGAAAGAATTGTTGATCATTTATTGAATTTATTGATAGTTTTAACAAAATTTGATTACTATTTCCATTTGATGTGTTGATTAGATCAGGAACACAAGCAAACTTAATAAGAACAAATGGTGATTAAAATAAGATAGCTAAAGAATCATTTAAATGTTACATTGACAACTTTAGAGCGAGAGAGAGCCAATAAATTACTAATCAAGGGGTAAATAATATGTTGTAAATGTTTCAGAGTTTACCGATATCTCTGTCTTAAGATAGGACTATGGTAATACCATGTATTTTGCATAACTCATATGATCCAACAGATTTAATGGTCTTATTTCATGATAGAAGCAAATGATAAGGCCTGAAACTTTTACAATAAACTATTGCTACTAAGGTGTATGTGTATGCAAAATTTCAAGTCGGAATTCGAAAGTAAGGTTTTTAGGTACTCTTGAGGGGAACCACGGTATGTATGTATTGATAAAATATGAATATGTCATTCGTATCTCTACTACCTATTGTTATAAATATTTCATCAACAACAGACGGAGTTGTCAAAGTAGATGAGCGATCGAGAAATTTAAATTTTAGAATTTCTTTCTTAATCGATTTTAGTTAAACTTTGTTTGAAGCTTTTTTCTTAAATAATATCTTGTCACATGAACTCTCTATAAATATTAATTCAACAGTTTCATGTGTCTCTGATTGATCATATTTATTTTCTGCACAAACACGAAAATGATATTTAGCTTCATCAATTAATTTATTAAAAATTATATTTTTTTCTTCAAACCTGATGAGACAAATTTCATTCCATGATATGCAGCTTGTCGCTCCTCATATGCTGCAATACAAAGTGTTATTTCAACATGTAACGGGGGATAGTGAATGTGAATTTTCTTTTCACCCGAGTCGACATCCGCTTAATATTAATTAATTAAATGTTAAACAGAAAAACTTAATTTTAGATTAAGGTAAATGATCCACGCCTACTTAAAATAGCTTCTATATATGGAGAACAATGTACCATATGACTATAAATTGTTGTTCCGCTTTAAATATAAAAACACGTTTCTGTAACATATCATTTAGTCGAGTTTTCAACATCGTCAATCATTATTTTCTCTTGATCGGGACAGGAAATGAAAGAAACGGCATGTATGTATGTGTATATGCGCACAACAATTATAGTTGCTATATTTTGTAGTAGCACGATATATGATTAAAAAACTCTCATTGGCGACGCACGCCATATAGAAAACAATCATTATTAGCATCGTTGCCGATTGTTGCTAGTAACTATGAAGAAAAGTAGAATTATTACACGAGCAATTTATTTTGTTTTTAGTTTCCTAAAGAATGTCAGTCACCGACATTTTCACTGATTGATACTAGTGAGATGGGCGCAGGTTGTTGCTGTTGTGGTAAGAAAAATCAACGTATATCATCTGAATATCATTCAATACCTCAATATACTCAGATTGGTATAAGAACAAATGATCCTCTGGTATTCATCGATGGTTATCTCGATGAACCAGTTCTCCCTTTGGAAGACGCTCTTGAACCTTTCGACGGTAAAATTAATCGATTATCTTATTATATCCAAGAAGCGAAAATGAGATGTCACTATCCATCAGAACATAATCTTACTCTTGATGAATCAGCAGCTATCTATATTTATACAATGAAATCGGATGATAGATGTCTTCAGAATTATTTGCAAGCAGCATTTAATTCTAATGATCAAAATACACTTCAAGCATGGTTCAAGTATCTCAAATTATTCAAAACTGCACTCGATAAGTTGCCTACTGCAAAAGCAGAAGTTTGGCAAGGAGGACCATTCGATGAAAAACTCAAAGAACAACTTAATTCAAAGTCATTACCACTCTATACTTCTCTGTGCTCATGTTCACCGTCAGTCAATCAAATTAAAGATTATTTACAAAAACCTGTTGGTAATAAGATGATTCTTCTTGGTTATCAATCTGTAAACGGAAAATTGGTGACTGGTTATACAGCTAATAACTGGCAAGAAGCGATAGTATGGCCAGGTATAAAGTTGGGAGTAGCAAAATACAGTGTGACCGATACTTATCATACATGGATTCTGAATGCAATGAGACAAAGTGGTGAGTACTAATATGATTGAAATCATAATAATGTTCATACTTTCTATGTTCATTCCATAATTTGTTATTCTTTTCTCCTCTATCTTCTTTGCTATTGAGGTCTTTCACTATATTGAGAGAGTTGATTTTTTATTTTCTTTATTCACATGTAATTTGTAGTATTAAATTATGACAACATATATTTAGGTCATCCTAATGGATCGATAAAGAGCGCCAATACTGCATCTCAAAAACACTTCAAATGTCCATACAAAGGTTGTACCAATCGTTGTTCTGGTAATCATAAAACTGATTACTGTCATGGTTTTGTTGGCCGTATGCATAGCTGTCAGCATCATTGTATTCCTTCTCAGAGCTGTGACGAGTGTGGTCAACCTAGTTCTCATCTATGTAAATGTTCTACATGTGAAGGTCATTATTGTGTTGAATGTTGTTTTAAATAAATAACAATGAAATTACACAAAATCATTGATTGATTCTATCGCAATAGTGTCAAGTAACATTTGAGAAAAATTATCAGAAAACAAATTTTTATTAAATATACACGACACTTAATTTAGTTGATAGTAGATCTTATCAAACACCAAGAATATGAATATTCCTCATGTACTCATTCGAGATCATGATAAATATGAGAACAGAGTACAATTATATTCACAGGATGTAAAATATTCATTTAATATCCATTAATGTGAGCAGTAGAGAAATTCGTTTCGTTTTTCTTTAATATAGATGAATGATACTGATCTATCGATAAGAATATCTTCTGATGATTTTCCAAAGAAAAAAATGGTACATAGCATAACAGTAGATTTCGGAATTAGAAAGCTATCGTACTAACAGCCAAAAAATCGGCATGTCAAGGTCAATATCATTGTCAAGCACGATGATGGTATTAAGTCCTCATCAAAAATCCATATTTGACTGAGGGGGCAATCAAATTGCATGAAATTTTCGGTCCTATATCATCATCATGTTTTCGACGAAAGTCTAATTTTAAATAACACAGAACTCAATCTCCAAATTTTTCCGATTGCATGTAAAAATTTACTCTTTTCCGATATCCATACATGTTTATATTTGCAAAAAAAAAACAAGCTCAGCCTTCCTCTTCTCCCTTCCTAGGTAATTAGCGCACTATACTTGAAACTGTTGACTTTATTTGAAACTATAACAGGACAATTTCAATTTCGGACACGAAGATATACAACAATAGGCTTCGGTATTTTTATCAATCGCATAAAAATGAGATATTGTTTTAACAATTAATTAGATTGATTTTAATTAGAGGATGTAGATGTGGATCTGAATCTTCTTTTCCGTCATACCCACATGTATATTTTACTTTATTATCAACTGTTATACTTTCAAAAAAGTGAACATAATTTTTTTTCATGATTAATATCATAGTTTGTACTTGAATGAATATGTTAGTCATCAAAAAACAATTGAATTAGTTTATCTATACGATTAACAATACATTTAAGTATTAATGTTTAATCTTCAACAATTATGGGATCTTGTAATGTTTGAAGGCATTCAATTTCAAGATCGTCAAAAACTAAATGAGTAATTGTACGAATTTTATTTGTACCAGTTTCACAGGCGTACTCACACACATCAGTTAAAATAGCATTGTTTATTTAGTAATATTTACCGTTTGTTGCCTGATGATTTAGAAATTTCAAATCAACTTCTATTCATTATTTTCACACCGACATACCAATAGCATCGTATTGATATTTCTGTTTCTGTACATGCTGACTGATGAGGTAATATTAACCGGTATCGTAGTGAATTTTCACTATAGGACTCGATATTTTTAGCAAGACGATATTGTCGAATTTCGACTTGAAACTTTGGCCACACATAAATGCCATTGAAATTACTGTATATGGAAAAAAATCAGAACTTGTGAGCTAGGTCTCCCAGACCTATGGAGCTTTCAAAAATGATGTATACCTTGAAATTTTTCTATATACACTAGTTTCAATGACATTTATATACAACAAAAATTTCAGATCAAAATTTGACAAACATTATTGTGCTGAAAATGTCAGTTGTGATAGCAAAAATTCACTACAAATTATTTGGTCTCCTCAGAAACAAGCTCTGAACACAAACTCTTTCCATGTGGGACATAGTCTACTAAGGTCTATAATGGATCTGTACTGTACTCTTCATATTCTTAATAAAACTTTCTAATTCGGTATATATGTTAGTCGCTTCAAAGATAAGAAATGTTTTTTTTGCTAATTAGTTGCATTCGATGACTAGCATAGTGTACACATTTCTCAAGTAATTTCGACGATGAACTTACAAAAATTAAATTTCATTTAGTGTTGATTTTGGATCTCGAAAGTGGAGTCCATCAAATGGACCTTAATCAAGCGTGAGGATTCAGTGGTGATGTATCGGTGAATCATAGGAAAACTGAGAATAACACCCATATTCACCCTGCCTAATTTCCAAAAACGGTATTCATAAAATTGGCCGAAAGAAAAAATGTCGAAACTGATAAAAATATAGCTTTACTACATACTATTCATGTAAAAGTACAAGAAATCAATGCTACAACAAATTGTTCATATAGTGTTGGTGAAGAAGTTTGCTTAACTTTTATTAAAAGAACTTTCGATATTTTTTTCTTTCGACTTTTTTTATACCATTCCCAAAAACTACTTGGTAATGAAATGAAAAGACAACAATCAATACCTAGCATTCAAGATATCGAAAGTTATCATGACAACACGTTCAACTGTATATTCATAAACATGCTTTTACTATCTCGCTTCAGAACGTATCATAATTATTTTATAATCATCTTATTTTACGCCACTCAGAAAAAGATCTGATTCTGGTTCCGATCAAAAGAAAATTTGGTCTCAATCCCCAAAAAAAAAAAAGCTTTGGTCACATTTTTTCCCGCTCCAAAACCATATTGCCCGTATATATCTATTAGTCATCTATACCATATCTATTAAAGAATCTGTGTAATGAAATAGATAAATATCAAGTTCGATTTATATTACACATCCTGTTAGAGAACGGAGCACATGTCTGATATATGAATGGATTAGTAGTTCATATTATAACACAAGTGATCAATGAGTGATTTTCACAAGTAATATCTATGTAAATTAATCAACTAGGCAAAAATGACAATAAAAACATTACAAATTTGCGTCATTATTGTCTTATCGAAAAATACAACATATATATTGATGTTTTCAGTCTTCTCTATATGAAACTATGTCACAAAATCAAGGTTTGATTTCGATTCATAATCATTATTCTACTATTAAATATATTCTGTTTCATGCTTCCCTAAAATATAAAGATGACAATTCATTTATCGTTCTGAAGGTCAATCATATTAACCAGCTTTTTATATTTCAATACTTAATTATATTCGATAGATTAATCAATCGAATTTTCAATTACAATCTGTGCACATTATGAGTCTTTTTGTTATTGCATCATAAAAATATTGCTTTAAAGATTCACGATTATGGCGTATTCTATTATCATTTTTGTCTATTTCTAACATGTCTTTTCATAAAGTCATCCACATTCGATTAAGAATTTTCGTTGTTTTTGTAACTATATGTTATAATACAAATGCTGATTTTTTTTTTCACTTCAAATGCTGTCATCTTCATATTTCATTGAATAGTAATTTTGCATCTGCAAGGCACACAATAAAAACCCTTATATTTTTCTTTTGTATAATTATTCGTGTGATGAAAAGAATTCTTTATATAAAAATGCATGTACACACAGAAAAATATTACCAGTTCGACATACATTTTCTATTTATTCACATGTTACACCAAGAGAAAAAGGATTGACAAGTTATTTAGATATTATACAAATGTTAAATATAAAATCATCAAATTTAATTTGGTCATTAATTCTTTTTGTAGTCATTCATGGATTTATTCCACATCCTTTGGTTCGTCTTAGAGAATATGCAATAATGATATAGATAACTGCATGAATTATTCTACATAGTTATAGGATTATACTTGAACTCACCCGTTAGATATGATACGTGAATACTAAGAAATAAATATCAACTATACTTCGACATGAGCCGAGCCAGAACCATCTCGCTTATATCTATTTAGAACTCATGAGTCGTGACAAAATGACATTTGATGAAAGCTTTACACGACCTGAATAGGTATCATTCCTAATAAAAGTGTTGATCCGGATTGAGCTGAAATCATCGTGTCTATATTTAATTACACTTCAAATTTTACTTGAAGTTGATATAAATATCAATTTTCTTCTTGTGATGCGTAGACAACAGATTTTTCAGATTAGAGATATTACATTCCAAGCTATGAATCATTTCAATTAACGACATTAAAAATAACTAGGAGAAGTGTTGCTAATCATAAAAAAAAGATTGATTCAGACGTGATCAATAGAATTATTTACACAGTATATTTTGTTTCTTCATTTTGTCAAAATTCTTCGTTCAGATCGTCATGCTAATTGGCTTTAGTTGCTACTTATATCTTAACAATTGTCAATTGAATATCATCTTCAATATGAAGTACCATAATTGAAGCATCCTAGTTCTTTAGTAAATTGAGTGTTAAACCTTACCTACATATCACAATGGATATTCTACGCTTAGTGGCCTGTTTGAGTTGAAATTTTCAGGGAGAAATAGTCCTAATGAGAAACGTTTTCGGTAAATATATCAGCCCGTTATTTCATACTCAAGTGAATTCATATCCCATCTATGACTTTCCGAAGATTCCATCACTTGTTCTGATTGAAAGCTAAGTTTTCAGAAAAATAATAAATATGTTTAGAAATGAATTTTTTCATTAAAATATTTCAGACTTTCGCGCAATGTGCCTCAATTATATATTCAACTTTGAGATAAAATACAGATATGTCATTCCTACTTCGAGTTTTAGTAAATACTTAGCGATTAATATATGTACAAATATTTTATTAAATGTTGCCGTAAATGGAAAGGACGTCTGTCAAA